AAGTCTTTAACTCCAAGAAATAGTAGGAGAGAAAGAGAAAGAGAGAGAGAGAGAGATCAACATTATAATATTGAGTCGTGTAAGAAGATTTCATTGAACATTATTTAAATTTGCAAATTATCAAAACAATCACTCTTCTATGAAAAATCTAATGGAATATATGCAAGTTCTTTAATGGACTTTGTTTTGAAATATTTTAACCACTTAATAATCAAAAACCCAAATCATAATCATAGATTACTATTTCAAAAAACCAGACTTCAACACATGAGTTGACAGGTTCAGTGTAATATCCAAGGACTTAGATACCTAAATACTTAAAAACTTAATCCATGTGGAATTTGATAAAGTGATTTTAAATTTTATATAACAGAACAATTCATCTAAAAGAACCAAGATATTTTTAAATAATAGGAAATATAAGGAAAGTGTGCAAATCTGATCAGAGAGAGGAAATAAGACAATTGAAGACAAGAAAGAAGCCAAAAATATCATTATTCTTACTGAGAGCATTCAATAATCCTTTTAAAATAATATATGTGTATTTGGATCTTTATTTCACATAGTTTTTAAAATCTGCAACTGAATAAGAGAACTGTTTGGAAGTAAAGGCTACAGCACATTTGTAAGACAGTACAGTGGAATATTATGTTCCCAACATAAGGAACAACATGTCATCAATAACAAACTAAAGGCATGAAGACTACAAGAAGAAAAGGGAGTTTGTTCATGAAAATATCCTAAAGATAGAATAAAAACATAATTTTGGAGCAGACATTTCAATAAATACATCAAAATCTCAAAAACAATATTGAGAACATATGAATGTGGCAAATGGAATATGAAATGCCTCAAATAATCCATTTTTCTGAGTCCCCCATCTTTGTTACATAAATTTGCAAGTTCTTCCATTAGGAGGTGCTACCTATTTCCCCATTCCTTGAAACTTACATGGCTTGTATCTTGCATTATCCATTAGAATTTAGAAAAGCAATGATGTGACTATTCTGAACCTAGGCCTTAAAGACTTTGTAAGTATATACTAACTGCCTTCCTGTAAACCTATGTGAAGAGGTAAAGCTTACACTGCTTGCATGATAAATGAAAACTATATACATGTTAGGAACTGTAGGCAACAGCCCAAACCATACCATGATCAGAGAGACTTCATTGCCCTGCAAATATATGAGAGTTCTTTGGAAATACATGAGCAAACCCAGCCTATACAGATCTTCACAGAGTTCAGGCTGAACTAAGACAAATTGTCAAACCATAGTGGCATGAGCTAAATAAGCATTCTTAATAATAAACCTATTGTATGGTTTGTTTTACAATTCCTGTGGATAATAATATAACAAATGTCTTCAATTTGAAAATAAATATATTATCAACATAGGTAAATGAGCAAGACAGTTGCACTCGAGCAGAGGAGAAAATCAAATGAATAAGTACATTAAAATATAAATATACAGGGAAATAAAAATATATAACCATAATAATTTATAGAATAAAAATACACCTAATCCAAACATCTAATTTCAGAAAATAATTGTTAAAAAATATCTCTTGTACAGGAATATACAGTATATGACTGACTTCGTGCTAAAACCCAAATCTCTGTGCTATCTTCAGTCTTAATTCATTTGGTTATGCTATCTCTCTGCTGCAGTGTAAGAGAAAGGATTTCCAAGAGCCCCTGAAATCTCACATGCTGAAGAAATGCTAGGGGCAATAATTTGGTTCTCAAATGTACTAAGCTTTCAAGGAAATACAAATGTGAAGAATACCATGAAGTGATCTGGATGCACACAGCGCCCCCCCACCATGGCACCTGTATGTTCTCTCTTATCTCCTTTTCTTTGTAACTCTGGGCCAAGGTCACAATCCCACGTTGCAGATGGTAGCGAAGGGCAATCTGGGCAGGACTTCGATTATGTTTTTTTGCCATGGCACAAAGAACTGGATCATTCAAGAGAACAGGGGCGTTTGAGTCCACCCTGGAAGAAAAGGCAGACTTCCTGAACACCAGAGGCTAAGTGTTTGGCTTTATAGGAGGATTCCAAAACACATTAGTTTATCCATTCTAGACCCAGAAACAGCAAGAAGTTATCTTTGAGGATTTTCTCAGAAGTGCAAATTCTTGTCTGACCCAATACAGAATTAACCCTAAAAAGCTGAGCATGTGTATAGAACTAAAAATATTTCATCTATTGTGGTGTTTTAAGGAGTCACCCTGCTGTTCTGTTTACCATCGTTTAGGCCGTTGAGTTCCCATAGCACTATAGGCAACCAGCACAATGTCTTTTGACTTGCAGAAATCCAGCAGTTTGTTCTGGTTGAGGTAAACATGACATTCAACCTACAGATGGCCAAAATAAAAGGTTGTTGGAAAGAAGAAGTATTAACTGTTAAAATGTATGCAACATTACCTTTGAATTGAAAAGATCAATATTACTGGTGTTGAAGGTTAAACTTAGAGCCTTGCACTTGCTAAGCAAGTGCTCTACCACTTGAGCCACAAAACCAGCTACCCCCTCCTTTTGTTTCAAATAAGGTCTCCTCTCTGAACCCAGGTATATCAGGACCATGACACTTACATGGTCATGTCCATATAACTGGGATGACAGGAGTCTGTCACACTGCAAGGCCATTCATTGATACGGGTTCTCATGAATTTTTTGCCTATTCTAGTTTTGAACCATGATACTCCCAATCTCTACCTCGCAAGTAGCTAGGATTACAGAGTTGAGCCACTACACCCAGCCAGTAATGTTTTTCTTTAAAAGTAAATTTCTTATCTTTGTCAGTGGTATGGGATAAAATAACTTTCCTATACAGAACCAGACTCCATTTTGCAGGCTTGGTATGGTGTCTCTTGTCTGTATTGCCATCTACTTGGGAGAGAGATAATGGAAAGTTCATGATTTAAGGTCAACCTGGGGGAAAATGTTTTTGAGACCCGACCTTAAGCAATGTTTGGGTACAGTAGTGTGTGCCTATCATCCTTATCCTCTAGGGATAAGGACAAGTAAGAGGATTGAAGTCCAGTCTGGTGTAGATATCAAAAGACTTTCTATCTCAAAAATTACCAACACAAAATGGCTGGTGGAGTAGCACAAGTGGCAGAATACCTGCATAGCAAGTGTGATACCCTGAATTCAAACCCCAGTACCACCAAAAAAGAAAATACCATGATTGTATTACACAGAACCATGATAAATAACAATTCTGGTTCAAAAAATCTATCTGAAACATCGGCCTCAAATTCAACAACATATCAAGAATTTTCATGATAGGAAGTCTGAAAGACAAAAGAACCCATTTGATGTCTTTCTGCTGGTGACAATTGGTGAGATTAGTGCATCAAATACAATAATGACTGAAATCCATTCTAGCACATGTAGTAAATACAAATTCATGAGTTCATAGGAATAGCCCTACGGAAAGAGAGAGAAAAAAATATTTCCCCTGCTGATGGAGGTTATTCCTTAACTCCTTTTTTAGAACATTGATTTTGAAAAGGAAAGAATTAAGTTCCTTGTCTCTCAAGAATAATTTCAGGTATAAACTGATGTAACGAGTACATTTGTTTGTATACTAAAACCTCTGCAAAGAAAACAGAATAATTAAAATGAAAATAATGATTCAAAAATTTCAACTCCACATACACCATTACCAGTAACCTATCCTGTTTTCACTCTATCCTTTTGTAAAGTTCATTTCATGTTTTCATGGACTTCCCTGCTATATACAGCTCATTCTATAGTACCATCACCCATCCAGTATCTGTTATTCTTCACAGATCAGAAATAAGTTAATATTTCATTAGAAGTATGATTAATGACTGTTGTCTTGTGCATTGAGTGTATATCTATAGATTCTGTGTAAATGGGCATTAACATATCCTCTGTTTTCACTAAGACTTTATCACAGCAGTGCAACTGGGAATCTTCTATATCCTTTGAGATGCCCATTGCTGATGGAATCTTCTGTTCCACAAAATAAGATGAAATGAGAATATAGCAAGTGGATATCTGGCAGTAATACAGAAACAAGAATGTAGTAGAGACTGAGGGTCCTCACTTGGTTGCACACAGGTTTGTACTTGAGTCCTGGCTTATTCAGGATCATCTCCAGCTGCCTGCGGTTAAAGTTAGACACTCCAATGGACTTGGCCAGTCCTGCATCCTTACACTTCTCCATGGCCTAAGGAGGAAGAATTTATGAAGAGTCATTTGTATAGTTTGCTAAGTCAATATAAATGCAAGGTGTAATTATTAAAAGGAATACTGACAAGACATGGGGATGGAGCACTGTGGTAGATCACTTGCTTAACATGTGCCCTGGATTTTTTTTTAAATATTAAAATACTCCAATCTTTATTTTTTATTTCTATTTATTTATTTATTTATTTTTATTCATATGTGCATACAATGTTTGGGTCATTTCTGCCCCCTTCTCCCCGCCTCCCTTACCCCCCCGCCCCATCCCCTCTGGATTTGATCCATAGGGCATCAAAAAGAAAAAAAAGCACACTGCCTAGAAATGACAATGATTCTGAAGTAGAGTAAATGATAAAGATAATAGAAGAGATAGTGATGCCAGAAAACAAATTCCTGTGTCTTAATCAGGGAATCAGAAATGTTACTGATTATGGTGGCAAAAGATGCCTTTTCTTATGGTTCACAATTTTCCATTTCTCTGCAATATATTCTAGTAATGTAGTAATTTTTCTCCATCACTCCATAAAAACACCCTTATAATCATAATGAATTTCTAGAACCCGTGGTTCTAGAAATATATCCTATTCTCTAAAATAGAAACATAACTTGACCACACTCTTCCTAACTTCCTGTATTGTGTCTCCTTCATGTAGTCACTAACCTCCCATGTGGCACAGAGATCCACTTTGTCAAATATTGAATTTCCATGTTCATCTGTTGGAAAAAGCTCCTCACCAGGCTGGAATAGAAGTAGTAATTACATTATTCTCACCAAACCCATGTGTCTCACCCATAGCAATGCTCCTAGATATAGCTAGGATTAAGATAATAAACATCCATGAAAACATGTGGAACACCAATCCACATACTTATACTTTCAAAATGGATTGCATGTGGAGTTGTAAGGAATATCTTTAGATGTTTGAATTTCCCCATTCTCTTATGTCAATTTCATGCATAATTAAAGAATTATTTACACTCACCCTAATAAGGTCTGCTATTTAATCTTTGTTACAATGCCTATTTCCACACTTTTATCTAGTGAAATGCATCTATGTCACTGTAAAATTCAGTAGTTGCATGGCTTTGGCCAACAGTAATAATTGATTTTAATCTTGACCTAGTCTAAACAATATGTATTCTTTAGCTACCAGAATACCTTTAGTTCAAGGGCATGCTTATGAACCAAACATGCTCAGTTCAGGTTGTATGCAAATTGATTTGGATTATAGGAGATGCAGATAAGCTTTCAGTTGTTAATGACAATGAAGCTTTTACTGTCTCAAGGCTACATTTGCCATCAACAAAAAGCTGGAACAAAACTGAAGCAAAATTCTAATAACTCAGATAATAAGGCATGCATAAAAATAGTCATTTTTGAAGATTACTCTTAATCTTTAAATCTAGCCATCACTTAAACTGTCTATTTTATAATCTAGGAAGCTCTTTTTTAGACTCTACCTTGAATAATTTCTAAAATATACAATTCAATTTATGTAAATTTATAAAAGAAGTCATGCCCAAAGACAAACTTAATTAGGTTTAGTAATTCAAGTAACTTACCTTCATTGGCACAGGGTAATGAATAAGATAAAGGTCAACATAGTCCAAATTAAGTTTTTCTAGTGATCTTTCCAAGTTTTGTTGGACGAGGTCTGGATGGTGGAAAGTGCACCAAAGCTTCACAGGGCAAAGAATGCAATATGTGTTGGATTAGTAAATGATGCAAATTTGGACACTTATTTCACTAAATATTCACACATTTTGTACTGAATATAAACTGATGCTCACAGGGAAAAATATTGTTATCAGTCTTGCACTTTGATCTGACCTGTCCAGAAGAACTCCATTATATGTTTGCTTATTGTGAATCAATCTATTAAAGAATGAAGTAAATTCCTCAAGAGATAAATATTCTTCAAGCAATAATAATATCTAATCTCTGAGTTATTTTTCATGCAGTTTATAAAGTTATGAGACTAATTATCTCATCTCTTCATATCATAATGGAATTAGTATCCTTTCATTTTCATAGTTGAAGAAAAACACATTTTCATCAACTTAAATGTGCTGCACCCAAATCAACACAATTTACCTATACCTTCTTTGCTATCCTGAAATAGTCTTCTACTGTTTTCTGATATGTATAAAGTTAAAAACAAATATTCTGAGTGATAAGAAATTTTAGAAAGTCATCCAGGTGATAAGTAAATAATAATGATATCATAGTTTTATCTGAATTTATAGCCCATGCTACATGATGGTCCATGGAATTGAGGCTTGGAAAAGTCGAGAGCTTAACATTATATTTTTGTGTAGACTATATGAAATAATAATTTTTCTCTGTTTTGGATACTAGATCTTACATGTAAATTAGATGTGAATAAAAGTTGTATCAATAATGATTTTCACAAATTACAATTAATGAATATAAATTTCACTTACATCCTGTTATTAATTTACACAGTTATACATCATATGAACAATACCTTTGAGGTGAGGAAAATGTCATCTCTCTTCAGAGTGCCATCTTCAATCTTACTTTGAATGGCCAGTCCTACTTCTTCTTCTACTTGGTATGAATAAGCAGTGTCAATATGGCGGAACCCGGCATCTATAGCTAGTTTTACTGCCTCCATTGTCTTACTCTTAGGAACCTAGAAGAGCAATCAAAGTAGAATTGGAGATAACATGCTATATAACATAGCTCACATTGACCTAGTGGACAGTTGACAAGACTACAATGTATTTGGTACTCCAAAGTTATCCACCCTCAAACCGCTAAATTGTTTCACAAAAAATTTGCCTCCTTATCTGAATTTTCACTTTTCCTAACCATAATTAGTAATGAAATCTACAAAGCTTAGTTGTGGAGGTCACAGGTACAAAGAGTTATGGTCAGAAAAACTTTTGCCTTTATCTTCAGTTTGTTCTTTAATTGGAATAACAAACCAAGTCATTTTTCTGTAGGAAAGTTATAAATAAAGCAACATCTAAAATTTTTGTCTTGTCTGGCCCATAACACCAAGGAAAGTGAGACAAAAAAACCCCTTCAGCTGTCTCCTTCCCAAGATGTTTGACAAGATGGGCAGCACTCTTCCACACATAGCCCAGAATACCAAGTTCCAGTACCAGTATTGGACAACAAAGGAATAAGTCCAGAACATTTTGCTGAGGTTACTGAACTTTTTGTTGTTATTGTTGTAGCTGGGTTTTTTGTTTTCTTTTTCTTTTTTTTTCCAAGTCTTTTTCCCCCCTTCTTTTTTTAGTATTAATTTTACTGTTACTATTTTCTTATCCCTATTGTTAGACCATTCACTTTCCTTCCTTTTCTTGTGCTACAACCCATTGTTCTCCACCCTAAGTATTCTTTCTACCCCTTCTCATCTACTCTCTCCCCTGTCTTTGCCTCCCCTTCTTTGCCTTCCCCAACCTGTCACCACTTTAGCCCTCCTTCCTACACATTTACCACCTACTGATAAGCATACCATTCCAACTGTACAAACCCCAAGTCCTCTGCAACCAACAAAAAAGCACCCTCAACTATAACAGCAGAACTACACACAAACACACACAGGGCCCCCAAACCCAGCAGCCCCCATATCACTTCCCCCACCCACTCCACTCTTCTTTTCTGCCCCACCCTTTTTTAGCATCACTTGTACTAATTACCAAGGTTTCTATCTCTACCAAACAAGCATTACACACTCCCCAACTCCAACTGTTTATGGATATTTTCACCAAGGTGTTTTCAACATAATATGTAAACAACTGGCCTGGCATTGAAAAATGTGAATTTGTTATTTCTAATTTACATTTCTATGCCAGGGACAGAAATAGCACATTAACCTACCTAACAATTAAGCCAGTCACAACACAAAATTTAAATCAAGGGACAGAAAACAGGCAATTAAAATCACCAACTAGCCAATCAAGAACATAGTTGCACATATAGTTGCATAGTTGCACAGCACCAATTAGAAAGATGTGAAGAAGAAGGTAAGAAAACTCACTCCCCAAAAGAACAATTTATTAAAGGATTTAGTGAGAAGTAAAGAAAATGAATACCCAGTTCCTGACCCAGAACATTGATAAATATCACCAATGAGTTCAGTGATGCACATAAAAAATTTCTCAAAGTGGAAATCATGGTGCTCGCTTTGGCAGCACATATACTAAAATTGGAACAATACAGAGAAGATTAGCATGGCCCCTGTGCAAGGATGACATGCAAATTCATGAAGATTTCCATATTTTTGCTTTCTAATGTTCAAGGGAAGGAAATTGGCTCAGAAAAAAAAAAAAAGTGGAAATCATGGATGAGATCACTGAGAAACTCATGGAGTAACTGCAAGACATTGTTAACCAGAAAGTACAAGATACACTCAAGAAATATCAAATTTTTATCACAAATAAAAAACTTGAGAAGTCATAGAAATAAGTAAATGAACTCAGAAGGACTTTGAGCACTAAAATGAAACAAAGGAGACAATTTTAAAAAAGAGATACATGAAATAAATATGACAACACAAGATATGAAAGACGAGTTCAACAAAGATATGGAAAACCTCAGAAAAAAGAATCAAATAGAAATCCTGAAAATAAAAAGTCCATTTAATCAAAAAAAATACAGTGGAAGATCACTCCAGCAAACTAGAACAAGCAGAAGATATAATCTTAGGACTTGAAGACAAAATAGATATTAAAGATAAAATAGAAGAACTCTTCATCAAACAACTCAAGAGCCATGAAAGGAATAAGCAAGAACTGAGCAACTCCTTCAAAAGAACAAACCAGAGAATCATGGGCATCAAAGAAGAAGAGGTGCAAGCCAAAGGGATACATAATATATTTAACAAAGAATAGCAGAAAATTTCTGAAATCTCAAGTAAAAGTTTCCTATTCAGGTACAGGAAGTATCTAGGACACCAAACAGACTAGACCAAAATAGAATTCAATAGAATAAGCAGAAGCAGAAAATACACAAGCCACTGGGGGTTGAACAAAACACTGCTCAATGATCAGTTGGTCATAGAATAAATAATAAGGGAGGAAATTTTAAAAATCTTCCTGGAATTTCATGATAATGAAAACACAATTTATCAGAACTTATAGGAAACAGCAATGGCAGTCCTAAGAGGAAAGTTTATAGCCATGAGTGCATATGTTGAAAACACAGAAAGATCTCAAATCAACAACCTAGTGCTACATCTGAAATGCCTAGAAAAACATGAAGAAAGTAAATCTAAAACAAGCAGAAGAAGAGAAAAAATAAAAGTAAGGGCCCAAATCAATGAAATAGAGACCAAAAAACAAAAAACAAAACAAAACTATACAATAGGTTCTTTGAAAAAACAAAAAACATTGAAAAGTTACTGGCAAATCTGACTCAAATGAGGAGGGAAAAAACCTGACTTAGTAAAACTAGAAATAAAAAAGGGGAGATAACAACAAACACCAAGGAAATCTAGGAAACATCAGGGACTACTTTGAGAATCTATGGTCAATTAAGTTGGAAAATCTATAAGAAATGGAAATATTTCTAGATACTTATGATCATCCAAAACTGAATCAAGAGGAGAGTAATCACCTAAACAGATCTATAACATGTAATGTAATTGAAGCAGCAATAAAGAGTCTCCCAGAAAAGAAAAGTCCAGGACCTCTCAGATTCTCTGATGAATTCTACCAGACCTTTAAAGAAAAAATAATACAAACACCCCTTAAGATTTCCCATGAAATAGAAAGAACACTACCTAACTCATTGTATGAAGCCAGTATTACAGACATCTCCAAACCAGACAAGGACACATCCAAAAAGGAGAACTACAGGCCAATCGCCTTAATGAACATTAATGCAAAAATCCTCAATAAAACAATGGCAAATCAAATCCAACAACATATATGAACCATGACCAAGCTAGCTTCAACCCAGTGATGCAGGGATGGTTCAACATAAGCAAATCATTAAATGTAATGCAGCTTATTAACAGAATCAAAGGCAAAAACCACTTTATCACATCAAAAGACAGATAAAAATCCTTTGATAAGATTCAACACCATTTCATGATAAAAGCTCTGAGGAAAATAAGAATAGAAGGAATATATCTCAACATTATAAAGGTTATATATGACAAACGTATAGCTAACTCATACTTAATGGGGAAAAACTGAAATAATTTCTCCAAAAATCATGAATGAGACAAGAGTGCCCAAGCTCCCCACTGCTATTCAACATAGTCCTGGAATTCCTAGCCAGAGTAATAAGGCAAGAAGGAGAAATAAAAGTAATACAAATAGGTGAAAAAGTAGTCAAACTATCTCTATTCACAGATGACATGATTTCATACCTTAATGACCTGAAAAACTCTACTCAGTAACTCCTGGACACCACAAACAGCTTCAGCAAAATAGCAGACACAAAATCAACTTACAAACATCAGTAGCATTTCTATACAACAACAATGAGCAGATTGAGAAAGAATATAAGGACTAGGCTCAGTGGTTTAGTGTTTGCCTTGTATGCATGAGGCCTGAGTTCAATCCCCAGTACCACAAAAAAAAAAAAAAGAAACAATTCCATTTACCATAGCCTCAAAAAATAAATATAACAAAGTAAGTAAATATAACAAAGTTAGTAAATGATGTCTGCAAGGAGAACTACAAACCATAAAAGAAAGAGATCAAAGAAGACTACAATCTCCCATGCTCATGGATTGGCAGAATCAACATACTAAAAATGGCTATACTAAAAAAAAAAATCTACATGTTTAATGCAATTCACATCAAAATCCCAATGACATTCATCACAGAGATTGAAAATTCTACTCTAATGTTCATTTGGAATCACAAAAGACCACAAATAGCCAAGGCAATTCTGAGCAAAAGCAGCAACCTGGGAGGTATCACAATACCTGACTTCAAACTATACTACAGAAACACAGCAATAAAGACAGCATGCTAGTGGCACAAAAACAGATATGCAGACCAGCAGAACAGAATAGAGGAATCAGATATGAATCCACACAGCTAAGTTCACCTAATTTTCAACAAGGTGCCAAAAATATACGATGGAGAAAAGACAGCCTCTTCAACAAATTTTGTGGGGAAAAGTCATAATCTGTTTACAGAAAACTGGAACTAGATCGATGCCTGTCACTCTGTACTAGTATCAACTCAAAGTGGATTAATGACCTTAATATCAAACCTTATACCTTGAAGCTTGTACAGAAAAGAGCAGGGAATACACTGGAAGGAATAAGCATAAGAAAGGACTTCCTCAGTAGAACTCCATCAGCTCAGCAACTAAGAGAAGGATTGGTAAATAGGACTGCATGAAATTCAAAAGCTTCTGCACAACAAAAGAAATGGTCTCTAAATGGAAGAGACCACCCACAGAATGGAAGAAAATTGTTGCTACCTATATATCAGACAGGGACTGATAACCAGAATATACAGAGAGCTCAAAAAACTAAACTCCCCAAAATCAATGAACCAAGAAAGAAATGGACAGCTGAACTAAACAGGACTTTTTCAAAGAAAGATTTCCAAATAGCTGAAAACCACAAGAAGATCCAAGATGGCAACTAGGACAGAGCTACAGACCACATGAGCTCCATGAGCCAGGGACTTTGTTGAGATGCTGGAGACATGCTTG